CTACACCATAATTGGAAATGGTAAGCTGAAAATAATGATGATAATGAATCATAAAAGAGATAAAAATTATTATTACCATGTCATTGAATTCAATGACATAGTAATGTCATTAAATAATAAGTAATGTCATAGTAATGTCATGTAAATGACCTTCCACTAGCTTAGAAAATATTTATTGTTCACATCGAAATAAACAACCAAAGCATAAAATACATGATACACACTACAACATTTCCACTGGGCAATTTAATGGCCGAATTGTGTTACCTCAATTTATAATGCATGTTTTATTTATTATTTATTCATTTTGAGCGCTATAAAACTTTTATTTATTAATCTATATTATATTTCTATAAAATATCGGTTATATTTCGATATGCCACGCTAGAAGTGTTAACATAATGGAATTTCGGTCTGTATTTCGCATAGGTGTATTGTTAATTTTAATTCACTTTTGATGTTGGTTGTGTTTTTACTGGCCGTTAAAAATTAAATTAATGCAACCGGAAAAGTCAGCCATAAAATATATTTTTGTTAATCTTTTTAACTTATTAATTATTTCAATGGATATAAATTTTAAATTTGCTAAATTTGTTTAAAATAATGATTTTTAAGGCTTTAATTATTTTTTAAAACTCTCAATCCCTTTTAAAAACTTAAACACATATATTTCATTTTGGTGTTTTACATATTTTAAGATTTTTTAAAAATTTATACAGGGTGTTTCATAAAATATGACCATTGAGTAATCACGATTCTACTTAAACTACTTGACTTTAAAGCCCATTTTTGGCAAACGGATTGACTGTGAGGTGTAGAGGTTCGATAAGGAGGAGTCTCTCGAATCTCAAATTCCAATAGGGTGAAAACACCCCTCAAATATTACAATATTTGTTCATCTCATGATATGGCCCAAATAGGCTGCTTTCCTCTTTTTTATTATGTCGAGGAGTTCTCGGTCCTTGTTCATTTGGTTTAGAACTCGTTCATTCGAGACACGGTCAGTCCACGGTATTCGCAGCATTCTGCGATATACCCACATCTCAAATGCTTCCAACTTATTCATTGCGCCTACTTTGAGTGTCCACGACTCAGCCCCGTAGAGAAGTGTGGAAAGTACGTAGCACTTGAAGAAGTCTTTTATATGGATGTTGAGACGTTTATCGCACAGTAGGTTCCGCAATTGTAGGAAGTTTTATCTAGCCATCTCAATTCGAGCTCTGATCTCAATGTCTGGGTTTAGGTCTTCACTAATCCAACTGCTCAAATATCTAAACTTTGAGACTCTTGCTATTGGTGTCCCACCTAAAAAAAACTCCTCTGCTTAAACTGCTTGATGTAAAAAGCTTATTTTTGGCAAACGGATTTTTCGAAAGTCAAATTCCAACGAGGAAAAACTACCCCTCAAATATTACTAAGTTATATAATAATATCGCTATATTGTTTTTTCTCTTGCTGACATAAATGTGAGAAAATTTTATCCAGTTTTTATGTTAATTGAAATTCTTGCTTTGCTTTATCATTACCATTACAAATGATTAATTCGACGCGAACGAAGTCGCGGGTACACGCTAGTTATGTCTATATAACTGGTACGATTGATCAAATACATACACTAAGAGAAACGCAGCCGAACAAAAGAATATGAACTTCCACTAGCCATAGCCACTACAGACTTTGAGTAGACTTTAGACCCGATATATCCTAAGGCAATAATAGAAGCCCTTACATAGAAATTCTCACCAATATTATATACAAAGAAGCCAAAGCAAGAGTAATGATATAAAAAAACAACCCCAGAGTTCCCAAATGGTAAAAGAGTACAACAGGGAATTTTCCAGGAAGAAATGTTCCGTCAACTAGACTGGACCAACAAAGGATTAAAAATAGTTGGAGAATATCTTAACCATCTAAGCTTTGCTGATGACACAGTCCTAATAGCCAATAATAGTCCTGAAGAACTTCTTCTTTCAGTGTCTATCCTCTATGGATGTTGGCAATCATGTTGGTCCATATAATCCTATTAACAACCGCCCTGAATAAATTCATTCCCGTCGTCATTCCTGTCCACTGCCTAATATTTTCAGCCATGATGTTCGTCGGCGTCCCTGACCTCTTGTACTATCAATTTTGCCCTGCAGTATAAGTTGGATAAGTTGGAATTTATCATTACGCATTACATGCCAGAGGTATGCCATTTTTCTCAGTTTCACACTATGTAGAATTTCTAATTCCTTTTACATTCTTTGGATCACGGTCTTGTTTATGACATGGTAAGTGTATGAAATCCTGAGTATGCGGCGCGGCGATAGCACCACATTTCAAAGGCTTCCAAGCGTTTAGATGTAACATCTGTCAAGGTCCAAGCTTCTGCTCCATATAGGAGCGTGGAGAATACTAACACCTTAGGACTTGTGTTATTGTAGCAATACTCAGACGCATGTTGCATATGATTTTTCTAAAACGGTTAAAGACGGTTCTGGCTTTTTCTATGCAGCATCTGATCTCTCGTGAGTGATCCCATTCCTTGTTCAGGCTGCAGCCCAAATTCGTGATTGTATCTGCTGTTTCCAAAGTTTCGTTATTGGCCCTAAACTGATGGTACTACGCCTCATCATTTTTACTAACTATTAGAATTTTGGTCTTCTTGCTTCATATCATACATATCACATCAGCGCTTGTCTAAACATTATTTCGGATGAAGAACTACAAACACAAATTAACGAACTAAATAGGCCACGAAAATGAATTTAGCAAAGGTCTCAAAATGAATTTACCAAAAACTAAAGCAATGTACAACAGAGATAACTTGGGCCCGCATAGCCAACATATACAGCAATGGACTCAACTACAAAGAGAGTATGTAAGGGAGGCTGCACCATAATTGGAAATGGTTGAATATGCTGAAAATGATGATAATTATGATGATGAAATAGAAAATATATTTATTTTGACCAGATAACCTTACCTAACCCACCTTTTAAATACTTGCACTTATTTCCGGGACACCCTGTATAATAGATATTATATTAATAGTGGGTATATTAGTTTTCTTTAGAGAAGAACTTTTTCAACGGTCTAAGACACTCGAAAAACTTCCTCAGAACTTACGACCGAGAAAAATCAAAGGTTTTCCTTGATTTAAATAAAAACAATCTTCAGATTTTCACGGGGTTTCTAACAGGACACTGTCTCCTAACGACCACCTGAGTAGGCTGAAGCTGAGAAACAACGGCGAATGCAGATTCTGTGGGGAAAATGGGGAAACACCAGAACACCTTATCACTGAGTGCGCCGAGACGACGACCATTCGTGCCATGAACTTTGGTACGGCTGATGTCGAGGATGGAGAGCTGGCCTCTGTAGAGCCGTCTCAGATATTGGCTTTTGTTAAAGCCCTGAGACTGTCTTATGAAAGTGGAACACACAATAGATTTGTAAGGTCGCGGTGATTAACTCCCCTCCTAAACATTCTACATTCTTCTACAATAATTTTCTAAAAAAAAATAGTGTATTAAAGAAACTTTTCAAGTTTTTCACAGAAATAGATCACCGATACTGAAACCTTGAAATATTTTAGAGAATTTAAAAGCACAAAGTTCGTTTGTGATTTTAATCCCCACAGAACGGCATAGTCGCTATTCCAAGCATATCTGCTCCTATTTATTCGCAACTCCAACAAGGATATTGTAAATCCGACTGGCGTAAACGTTTCGAGCGTTTGTTATGACAAGATCTGCATTTAATATCTGGAATGTCGACGACTGAACGAGTAGCGTTACGCGACGCTAGGTAGTAATTGCTTTCCGAGCAAACAGAAAACGTTTATGCTCGCAAGGAGGTTGCCTTCCGAACGTCGCTAAGTCGTTTGTGAATTTTAATCGGTTGCTTATTGTTTCTCAAAATTTCGTGTTTTACTTCATGGATGTGAATAATGAATATAATTATCCTCTTTGATATCAATAATGTCTGTAATAATTAAGTAATTTTTATGAAGTAGTAATTGTTAATTTTGAAGTTTAACCTGATATAATATCATTTCAACAGGATGTCAATGGTTTTTATAGACGTATCTGTTTAAAAAAAACTAGTAAAGTGCTCTTGAATAGTTGTATTTAGATATTTTAAATATTTTTTTTATTTATTTGTCCTTTTATTACAGCATTTTTTGTCTCTTAGGCAAATTTGTTTATTAGTAAATCACTGCTGACAATTTGCTCTGTTGAATTAACCAGTGTTTACAAAAAAATAATTATTTTATTTTGTAGATTTTCTTACAGTACAAGTGGCAAAATACCCATTAGACCTTTTTGAAGAGATGGGTCATAGACTAATGTCATGTACTAGAGATAGATGGGACACTATATAAAACAAATAAGTCATTTAGAGCCACCTAGTGTTCCGGAAGGAACTAATGGAGAGTTTTGGCATAACAATTTTAGCGTTCCGTTACTTATTAACTACATCTATCTATCTATCTATTCAGCCTCTTCGGTCCATCGTTGGACATAGGCCTCCCCCAATCTCTTCCATTCTTCCCTCTCTGTCGCCGTGCTCATCCATCTTGTGCCTGCATGGTTTCCTCAGATCGTCCGCCCATCTCATCTGGGGTCTTCCTCTACTTCTTCTATTCTCCCAGGGCTATTCTCCCATTTCCATCGATCATCCTTCTGTCTGACATTGTGACCGGCAAACTTCCATTTTAATTTTGCTACTTCACTTCTAACATCCCTTACTTTAGTTTTTCCTCTGATCCACTCATTCCTTTTTCTATCTACCAGCCTTATATGTAGCATTTGTCTTTCCATAGATCTTTGAGATTTTGTTACCTTATCCATATTTGATTTTGTCAGTGTCCAGGTCTGGGATCCGTAAGTAAGTACAGGGAGTACACATTGATTATATACTTTGGTTTTGAGGTACTGTGGATATCTTTTGTTTTTTAATATGTAACTTAATTTTCCAAATGCTGCCCAGGCCAGTCTTACTCGTCCTTTATTTCAGCTGTTTGGTTTTCGGTTTTCTTTTTTCAGTTTAATCATTTGTCCCAGATATATATACTCTTCAATTTGTTCTATTTTTTCTTGGTTTATTCTGGTTGTTATGTTTTCATCTGTGTTTGTTATGATTTTAGTTTTAGTGTAGTTCATATTTAGGCCTATTCTTCCAGCCCCTGAATCGAGTTCTTCCAGCATTTCTATCAGTTCTTCTTTCTTTTCTGTTATTAAGGCGATATCATCCGCATATCTCAGGTGATTCAAGTATTGTCCACATATTTTGATAGCTTTTTCTTCCCAGTCTAAATTTTTGAAAACGTCTTCTAATGCCTGGTTAAAGAGTTTAGGGGATATTGTATCACCCTGTCTGACACCTCCTATGAAAATTGGCTTTGTTCCTTCGTGGATTTTAATTGTTGTTGTTGCTTCGCTATATATGTTGGCTATTAAGTCTGCGTATAGTTAATAAGTGGTCAACTGTACTGTATCCTTTTCTGAAGCCTGCTTGTTCTTTTGCTTGGCATCCGTCAAATTTTGTTGTTAGTCTATTGGTTAATATTTTCGTGAAGAGCTTATAAATTACGTTAAGGAGTGTTATAGGACGATAGTTTTTTAGATCTGCCCTATCACCTTTTTTATGTTATAGATTCCTTCCAGTCGTTTGGGATTATTTTTTCTATTAGGATTTTATTCAGGACAATATGAAGAGTATTAACTACAGCTTTTCCGCCGTACTTTAGCATTTCTTTTGTTATTCCGTCTTTTCCAGGTGAATTATTAACTATTAACTACATACTCCTTGTAAATTACAAAATAATTGATATGGACTTTTTTACTACAATTTATGTTTTATTAAATCATTAAAAGTGTCCCTCCCTCATAGGTGCCTTCTCTGTTGAGGTTGGCGATTAATATGGCATATGACTCTCTGTCCAGAGCTTGGTGAATAAGGGTGTTTCCGTCGGTGTGGGTCCAATCTCTTATGTTCTGTAGCCATGATTTATTTTTCCTCCCTATGCTACGTTTCCGTCGATTTTTTCCTTCTATTATGAGCTGTATTTTTTCATTTTCTGAGTGCCGCATTATATGTCCAAGGTAGGAAGTCTTCTTGATTTTAATTGTGCCTGTTAGGTGTGCACGAGTTTTCATTCTGTTTAAAACTTCACAATTTGTTGTTCCGGAGATTCAACTTATCCTCAGCATCCGACAATAAAATCGTCAGCATCCGGCAACATTTCAAACGCATTAAGGCGTTTGATGTTCCTTCCTGTTTTAGCGTCCGTGTTTCGCATCCATATTGAAGTAGGGGCCATATATAACATTTTAATATTCTTCGCCTCGTTGATATAGCTATTCTCGGATGGTATAAGAACTTCCGCATGTTGTGGAAACCAGCCCTAGCTATTTCAATCCTTCTTATGGTTTCCTTAGAGTCTAGCTGCCTGTGTACTTTCCTGCCCAAGTTAATATATCTCTGAGTGGTTTCGAGATGGACGCCGTTTACCATTATGTCGCTGTTTTGATTGTCTTGCGGATGCCTGGTCGAAAATCATAGTTTTTCTCTTGACGGTGTTAATCTCTAGACTCCTAATACTTTCTTCTGTCAGTTTGTCCATTAGGATTTGCAGCTGGTCTTCGGATTCTGCTAATACCACGGTGTCGTCTGCGTATCTTATATTGTTTATAACTTTTCCATTTATTTTAGACCCTTCTAGACAATTTTGAAGAGATATTCGGATTATATATTCGAAACTTTGAGTCTTTTTTCTTCTTTTTTAATTTGCAAATCTGGTCTCTGTGAAGAAAGTGAATGCCTTCTTTAAAAATATACATTTTTTATAATTTTTAATATTATTCCTACTTGATTAAAGAGTTTTGCGTTTATAACACTAAAGACCGTTCATTACCAAACCCTCACATAAACCCAACCTTCCTGGCATTACATTCTCTAATTCCAAAGGTCAAATTTCGCAGATATCCATCTCGAGCTCCGGTATCTAACCTTACTCCAGCCTAAACAATGCAAATTAGTAGGTTTTAATTAAGTAAACTGGCTTCGTTTGAAATTTTTATCACGTAACCGGCTCTTAGTTTGGCCGATTCTTCCAAGCTCCGAGCCGTTCAATCTCGCTCATTAATCGCGGAACGGTCCTGATCCGGTCCTGAGATAGCGTTACGTCCGAAACGTGAAATAGACAAAAAACAGAGGTAGAATATCTAGAAAGTAGAGGAAAAAATACTGTGCATTTGTACAACGCTTAAAAAAAATCTGGTGGTGTTATTGAACCTTAGATTAAATAATATTGAAAAGAAATAAAAATTATATCTAAGTAAATTTTTATCTAAGTAGTATTTTGTTTATTATTGCAATACAATATCTCATCAATAAATACACTTCAGTAAATATTTAGTATTAAAAACTTCAAAACCCTTGGAAAATGAAGCCTTAAAATTTTTACTGCAATTTCATAAAACTGAAATTACTTCAAAAACAGTAAGGTTTAAGTGTGATAAACCTTAATCAAATTTACTATTATTTCAATCGTAAAATTTAAAAATAGAGTAATATACAAGGTGTCTCATTTAAAAAAAAATACAACTAAAATATTTTTTACTTATTTGGGACATTCTGTATCTTGTAAAAATATTTTTAAATTGTAGCTCTAACAGTCCTTCAATGAACCCAAAACTTACAATTTGTAAAAATCTAATCATTTAGCTACAATATTCCGTGTCGTATGTGGTGAACAACACTGTATAAATAAAAATTTTAATCAATTAAACATGCCTACGTTTAGTATGAAGCTACTGCTTATACAGGGTGGTCCGAATTGTATTCCGGAAACTTCGGCAGCATATTCTGAAGAGAAAAATAAGTAAAAAAGTTCGTATAAATGTAAGTCTTAAAATGCTTAGTTTCGGAGATACAGGGTGTAGAAGTTTCATTTTTATTTCGATTTTTTCCAAATCATTTTTGAAGTAACGTAAATATTTGGATGAAAATCGATGTCTAGGAGTTATTTAACATGAGAAATTTGATTTTGATATCGATATGACTCCTATTTGTAAGGGGCGCCACCTACATGTGTTCTAACTCTTTTGAAGAGTAATAACTTTTCGTCCGTACCTGTATAAAACTACTGAGTGAAAAAATATACATTTCCGTGATTTTCTACGTAAAAAATGTATCTTGGTAAAAATCGCTGCAAGCAATCGTTCTCAAGATATTTAGAATGGAAATAGTCAATACATGTCATTATTGACAAAAAATAAAAGTGTTGGGTAGATAAATTATTTGACTGATATGATAAATTTGGGTACTTTTTGTTTTTTTAATAAATAAATTTTTCTTCGAAAAAATGATGATAAAACAGTTTCTGTTGCCCTTTTAGCACAAAAACATTACAAATTTATGATTTCAGTCTAATAACTATTTAGTCAACATGTTTAATTTATGTATTGATAATTTCGATTCAAAATATCTCGAGAACCATTACTCGTAGCGATTTTTATTAAGAGACGTTTTTTACGTAAAATACGTCGTAAATGTATATTTTTTCACTCAGTACTTTTATACAGGTACGGACGAAAAGTTATTACTCTTCGAACCAGTTAAAGAATATGTAGGTGGCGCCCTCTATATGTAGGAGTGATATTGACATCAAAATCAAATTTCTCATGTCAAAAAACTTCTGGACACCAATTTTCATCCAAATATTTACGTTACTTCAAAAATTATTTGGAAAAAATCGAAATAAAAATTAAACTTCTACACCCTGTATCTCCGAAACGAAGCATTTTCGGACATACATTTATACGCACTTTTTTTCTTCTTTTTATGTGCAGAATATGCTGCTGAAGTTTCCGGAATACAGTTCGGACCACCCTGTATACTGTTTGTTAGTCGATCAACGTAATAAGCAACGAATCGAAACCTCCTTCTCACAGTAAATACACCCAAACCCTTTAATCAACTAAAAGAAATTAAAGTGTATTTGTCGTCGTCAGCCTCGAACTTGCACGCCACCTGTCTCTCAATTAGCATATTAAACAATCAACTCGCCCACACACCCCAAGTCTTATCGCATCAACCCCTCGAGGGGTGAGGGATCCAGTGTTATACCCTTAATGTTCCAGTGTGTTCACCCCACACGCTTTTAATCAATAGGCCAGACAATACCGGAGCTTCCTTGCCTGTCGTTGCCTTCACACTAAAAACAAACGAGTGTAGGTTGCCCGATTTTATGTGTACGTCGGACAGTGGTTCGAAATTTGTTTTTAACCAGACAAAGAATGTTTTCCTTTTTTTTTGTTTTACACCGCAAGAATGGTTGTTGTCTGGGCGCACTTAGTGATGAGGTGTCTCCCCATTTTCCCCACAGATTCTGCATTCGCCGTTGTTTCTTAAACGGCCTACAGACGTAACGATTTATCATGTACGCATGCAGTACGATATCCATCGAAACTGCCGCATTAACGATAAATCGTAGCGTGTTTAGGGAAATTGGATGGTTTACAGTAAGCAGTCGTCAAATCGTTTGCAGTACGGAGCTTCCGTAAAATATCGTATCAACGGGTCGTGTCTGGGGTGGGGTTTGAACGCAAGTCTGAACGTGTGGAGTGTATTGTCTGCCGCAGCGCGCAGTTACGATATAGTTTTTATTTATTTTTGGTTTAGTAGAAGACTTTATTGATTTATATAGAGAAAACAGATGCCTATGGGATGTGAAATCAAAAGATTATGCAAATAAAATGAAAAGTTACGACTTACAGTTACAGAAATTTCCAGTTACGAAATTTTGTTTATTATTTTTTTTTGAATATTTCTTTCTCTCCAGCAGCCACTTTTTACACCATTTGCCACGCCCTTTTCTAATTTGAAGTTCAATAAAACACAAAGTTTACTTAATCTGGATGAGTTGCATAGAGGCCACTAGCTTTTAATTTTAACAGCCGGGTGGTCGGGGTTCAAAGATATTAATAAAAGGGCGCCACGAGATTATACTCTATGAATTTTAATACTAAATATTTAATGAAGACTGACCCCCAATGATCAGTTAGCTAATGTTGCAATAATAAAATAATACACATCGGGGTTCAGAAGTTAATAAAAGGGCGCCACAGATTATACTAGCTATGAACTCGGCAATAAAGATGTAACTATTAAGTAGACTTCAACACTAACCTCGAACTGTTGAGTGCAACTATCATGAACTTCAAATATTCCGATAACTATTTGTACCTTGGCGACTCTTAACTTTAACTTGTGAGACTAGACTGTAAATAAGACTACTAAAAACTCATTTAATCAATATATCCATTAAACAATGAAAAAGTTTATATATAAAGTAATAGAATGAAATGTAAGAGAAATGTAAATGTAAGTTAATAAAAGCAAATTGAAATGTAAAAACGAAAAGAAGATACAATTTAAATCAAATGAGAAATAATTAAAACTTATGACGTCAAACCCCCTTATCTAACTTAATAATAGATACAATCAAATTGGTTTATACCCATAAATCTAATCTAATTATACAAATATCTAATGAGTCTTTACTACTCGATTTAATATAAATAAATAATAGTTTGGTCAGAAATCAATATAATAATAAGTTATCAAATTAAAGTCTCTGTTGTTATAAATAAGCATTTATTAAAAATGAAATATCATTTTCAAGGTGTTACTTTTAGCTACATGAAGGCTAAGGTTGTTACAACAACTCAGTGTACTGTCACTGGAGCCCACGTATTAATCAGCAGAGGTACAGGTGAAAGTAGTAGGTGTGTTGAATTTCAAATGGTGAACATAACAAAGCCTTAAATAGTTTATTGGTTGTCTTAGAAAAAGAGCCTCAATTATATAGAACAAGGACTAGCACAACGTGTTTAAAAAGTTGAGTTAATAAAGGTAATAAAGTAGGACTAATCAAATCTGAACTTTACCTCAACGAGGGTTTAATGATGTCCAACGGGTACCTCTAATACGCGCAACAGGATGGAATTCTGGACTGTTCAACTACGGTCTGGATCGGTACTCTTGCTCTACAATTATGAACAACCAAATAAGATTTAAGAAAGATTAACTTAAACTAATCTTTTCTACACCACGTGGGGCGCGGAAAAGTCGAAAACCACACAACAATATGAACAAAAATCAGTTTGAGCATCGACTTACAATAGGCAGAAGAATAAATAAACTTCCAGTAAAATATTTAGTATTAAAAACTTTGATACCCTTGGAGAGAAATGAAGCCATAAAATTTTAGCATACCTTGGAACTGTTCAGGGACTTCTTAATCGTGGAATCGGGATATCGGTCCGGAAAAATTTATTTATTTAATCCCTTTACGAAATTGGTCGGTGGTCCATGTAAACTTAACAGGAAAATCTAACACGTTTCTGACCAAATGTGTTTCGGAAGCCTTAATAGTCCTTCACACGAAAACCCACTATTCACCATTTGTAAATGCTTCACGAAACGGCAGCCAGTTCTTCACGACGATATTCTCGGTCAGGGGAGTACAGAAATATATCGGGTTGCATAATTATAAAATTTAAATAAAATAATATTTAACAATAAAATTATAGTAAATATGATGCAAAAATAATAGTTATTTGCGATAATTTATGAGCTAGCACACAGAGGTCGTTGCGAGGAAATTTGACTG